GCTCAAGTTTTCTGCTTACAGGAATAATTTGGAGAAAAGGGATATAAATGTGACTTTTCCTCTAAGGAAAAAAATCCTTGATTCATTCATAAACAACTAACTCTAAGCAAGAATAAAATGTAAGAAACAACTATTTCACTCATATATCTTTGATTCACAGTGGCAGTACATTTTTCACAGGGTTACAGAAGTTTGCTTCTGACAATTTTTCCTCTTCTCTTGCTAGACTCAGTCTGGCAATAAGTGTGTTATCATGCAGTCAGTAGACAGCAAGCAAGCCATTCCATGTGAGGAAAAAGTCAATTCAACTAATGTTCCTCCTTGCTAAATGTACCCAGTTGTCTACAAACAAAACACAAAACTCTTCAGGAATGAAGTAACATATACAAAGGACAAATCTTTACAGACACAAAAAGAAGATACCAGAGACTAGAAATGTAAAGAAGAAATATTTATCTTTCATTGTATTATGGTTCACATTTTTCTACAACATGAACTCATTCTGTAGGCATAAAAAAACAAAAGAAGAAACAAAGATGAAATGTACAAGCCAAAGAAAAAGGAATAAAAGGTTGAAGAAGGCTGGATATGATGGCTCATGCCTGTAAGCCCAGCACTTTGGGAGGCTGAGGTGGGAGGACTGCTTGAGTTCAGGAGTTCAAGGTAAGCCTATGCAGTATAGTGAGACCTTGTCTCTACAAAAAAATTAGAAAATTAGCCTGGTGTGGTGGTGCATGCATGTAGTCATGAGGCTGAGGTAGAAGGACCACCTGAGCCCAGGAGGTTGAGGCTGCTGTGACCTGTGATTGTGCCACTGTACTCCAGCTTGGGTAACAGAGAGAGACAATGACTAAAAAAAAACCTGAAGAAGAAAATTACTTAGGAAGGGGCAGGAGGCAAGGAGATAAAAAATTGGTGAATTGTGCGATGTAGAGGATGTCACTCTGCCTTTTAAAGTCATGAAATCTGGCTTAAATACAATCAGTTTTAAGTAAAAATGTTTGCTGTTCTTCAGTATACCCCACTTGAGAAAAGATCAGGTAGATTATTCAACCAGAATGCACCTCTAGATTATGACACATAAATCTTTTTTTATTTTTAAGACTTTGATTAGGTGGTAATTTCATTTTTAAATAATACTATCATAATAACAATAATAATACCTAATTTTTATTGAGTGCTTACTACATGTCAGATACCATTCTACTGCTTTTATATAGATTATCTTATTATCATTCCCATTTTACCAATGAGAAAGCAGAGGTATGGGTAAATAACTCACAACTAGAAAATGGCAAAGCTGTTCTCTAAAGTGTAACAATACATCTCACTCTCTCAATAAACATTTATTAAAGGCCTACCATCTTCAGGACAGGCAAATACACCAAGATATAGAACTGAAATCTCATGGCCCACTGTGGTGGCACATGCCTGTAATCCCAGCACTTTGGGAGGCTGAGGCAGGAGGATTGTTTGAGCTCAGGAGTTTGAGACCAGCCTGGGCTACAAAAAAAAAGAGAGAGAGAGAGAGAGAGAGAGAGACAGAGAGAGGAACTGAAATCTCAGAATCCTAAGGGGGAAAGAAAAAAAAGATTCTACTGGATTGATCCTATAAAGGGGAAGAGAGAGGAACAAAAGTCATACAGAGAATCAAGAATCAGAATGGCTTTGGCTTCTTAAGAACAACACTGGAAACCAGAAGACAATGAAGGAATGCCTTCAAAATTCTGAAGGCAAATAATTTCAAGTCTAACAATCTAGTGTGAAGGTAGAATAAAGACATTTTTCAGACATGTAATGTCTTTAAAAAGATTATATGCTATGTACCATTTCTCAGGAGTAGCACTCTATCAGGACACAAGGAAAAGCAAAGACAAAGGAAACAGGAAAAACATCACAGGAAAGAGGCAACACAAATCCCTAGGATGACAGTGATGGAAAATGCCAGGGACAACAATGTACAAGACAGAGAACCCAGTCCATCCAGACTAGAGAACTGGGACTTAAAAGACAACAAAATGGTTTTTGTTACTGTATTGGCCCTTTAACCTGAAAATGTTAAGGTAAATCTTCCCCAGATTTATTTTTGTACAAGATTTGCCTGGGCCATGTACGAATGAAGTTCCTGTTTTCTCTTCTATGTCCTACTTCTAATAAATCAGCTAAGAACATTCATTTTAATGTAAAGAAATAACTCTAGTTTGCTGTACTTCTAAGAGGTGGAGATTGGCCATGATGAACTCAGAAGCAGAAAACATAGAGCAGCCCTTTCCCTCTACCATGTTCCTGCTAGATATCCTACAAGAACCTGGCCCATACTGCAGACCTATCTATGCTGACTGTCTAAGCACTCTGTTTCCCAGGATTCACTTACCCATTGACTTCTCCAGCAGGGGCTCTTATAAATGATCAGAAAGTTGAAGTTAGATTATAATTCAGATGCATCAACCTTTTTGATCAAGAAATACTTAGGAGGGACAATAATAACCTTTTCTTACAAAGCCAGGTTTGTACTTTGCTACTTAGGTCTTATATTAGGCACTTTAACAACACTTTACACATAAATTTAGGCATGCTTAGATCAGAGAAAATATTATTTCCAGTTATTTTGAATATGTAGGTACTCAGTGATTTTATTGACATGCTAAATGAAAGGATTCTTAATTATTCTTAAATCAATCCTGGTTATTTTTTTGGTTTGTTTTGTGTTTTGTTTTGTTTTAGAAACAGGATCTCCCTCTGTCACCTGGGTTGGAATGCAATGGCAATGGCATGACTATAGACCACTGCACCCTCCGGGCTCAAGCAATCCTCCCACTTCACAAAGTAGCTAGAACTGGTGTACACCATCATGTCAAGTTAATGTTTAAAATTTTTGTATTGAGGGGGTTTTCTCTATGTCGCCCAGGTTGTTTTTTTAAAACACAATATAACAATATTCAATTTCTAGGAATCAAAGTTATCTCACTGAGCTTGTATAAAACACTTTTTGAAGTACTTTCCTTGATTCAAGGGAGAATTTTCTAGTCACAGCTGCAGAAAGTTTTTCATTAGTTTTGAGGGCATTGTTTTGTTTTGAGTCAGAGTCTCACTCTGTCACTTACCCAGGCTAGAGTGTAGTGGCATGCTCACAGTCACTGCAGTCTCAACCTGCTGGGCTCAGGCAATCCTTCTGTTTCAGTTTTCCAAATCGCTGGAACTATAGGCGTGCACCATCTTGCCCAGCTAATTTTTTATTGTAGAGACGAGGTCTCGCTGTGTTGCCCAGGCTGGTCTTGAACCCATGGGCTCAGGTAATCCTCTCACCTCCACCTCCCAAAGTGCTGGGATTACAAGTGTGACCCACCTTGCTTGGCCTATTGTTTTGTTTTTTTAATTAATTTCAGTGGTCTCTTACTAATGGGAAGTAGAGGCTTCAGTACACGCTGGATTTTAAAAATTATACATTGACAAATTATAGTTGTATATAATCATGGGCTCCAAAGTGATGTTATCATTTTTTAATACAATATGGAATGATTAAATCAAACTGATTAACCTATCCATCACCTCAAATATTTAACCTTTTTGTGATGAGAACATATGAGATTTACTCTCTTAGTGACACTGAAAGGTACTATACTCAATTAGCTATATTCACGAATATAAGCTTATTTAAGGCCTTAAAGTAAAGATTAAGTCCTTAAAGAACAGTATTAACCTAGTGCTGGTAGACATAGTGCTCTTTGAGTCAATAGTCACTCATAGAAGAAACAAACTTTTGCAAACTAATAGGTAGCTGATAGGTATATTTTGTTTAGGCAGAGAGTAATTCCATGTCTTCTATTTTTGCATTATCTAACTCAAGTAACCTACAGAGCTCGCAGTTGTTAAAGGCTGCTGCCCCTCAACTTTTCTCAATAGATTGAAATCATCTTGGAAGAAGAGCCAACTAAAATGGCTTGAACACTTACATGGTATACAAACTCTCTCCAAACCCCTACTCCATACCCCCACCCCCGTCCCACCATGTACCTCTCCAGATTCATCTCTTACTCTATTCCTCATACCCTATGTTTAGTTGCTCAAATGTCACTCTCTCATTTCCAGGTCTTTACACACATCATTCTCTCTCCACTTCATCCTTCAGGTCTCAGCTTTTAGGCATCATTTTCCCAGACAGACCTCCCAGGTCATAACCTCCCATGACATCCTATACTTCTTTTTGTATAACACTCATCAAACCAGTAATTAATGTTATCTTCATAATGAACTGGAAGATCCAGAGGACAGGGGCTATGTCTACCTCAGTCACAGCTATATTCATGTCATCTAGCACAGCACCTGCAAATATTTGTTAAAGTGGACTAAAGTTTTCATCATTAGACTTAAAGCTAAATATTTGCGATTTGTAATTAACTGCCCCAGGACATAAATCAAATGTTCTGAGGTAAATACCTTTTAACTTTTTTCCCTCCTCCATTTTCCTTACCCGTTCTTTTAAATTCTTTCAAAAATTAACCACTGATTTCCTTTTAGGTTGGAGGAAATGTCAGATTCATTGCAAGACTGTTTCAATAATTATCTGGACTTTATTCTCTTTTATGACATTGATTTAAAATTATAATTATATATCATTATTATATCTAATTATAACATGAGTTATAATATTAATAATAGACCATCCATTCAACAAATATAGGTATAATACTAATTGTGTAATATATTGAGTTATTGACATCTGCAATGCTTGCTAATCAGAGCATCACACCCTCTTTACTTTCCCTGACTTTTAAAAACATACTGTGGATACTTTATCTCAATAAACACACCAGCTATGGTCTTTTCTTTAAAATGTTAATCCTAGAAGGAAAATAGTAGGAAAATTTAAGAAACAAGCACAGAAATAACTCGAAGTACAACGTGTCTTAGAGAGGTAGGTATAAATACGCTCTTAACAACAACTACAAAATTAAGACAAAATTCTTGTCAGCTTCTTATACTGCAGGCAGTCTCTTTACCTTAGAAGTTGCATTATCCCAAATGGCTAGGCCAAAATAGTCTTCCTCCAAAAGATTGAGGTGCTCACATACTCGTTTAAGCAAATCTTGTCCCTTAGCATGTTTCTGCAAAGATACACAAATTTTAGTTGAGGTTTCTTCTTATTCCTGTATTCACCAATAAATAAAATGTCACTTTCAGATTTCTTCTTTTACTTTGGTTACCAACAAACTTTCAGATGGCTATACTATCGAACAATATGATTTATAAAATTCCTATTCCTCGATTTGTCAGTTTACATATGTAAGACACTTAGAGTAGCTTGGAAATAGTGTTATGACTCAAAGCAAAATTCTACCATCCCTCCATCCCCACCCCCCATCTCCATCCTAAACATCACAGTCTATTTTTGGTGTAATATTTCCTGAAGCATGCTATGGGTCGCTGTCAGTCACCATGACCAGCTGAATTACTGAATCAACTGTCAACACTCCCAGTTAATTGTGGCTGTAGAAATCATTTAACTATTATTTTCAAGCCAAACATCCCAAGAGAATGAGCTATGCCTCAACTCCCTACAATCTCTTTCAGAAAATTGAATAAAGTAAGATTCCAGATAGCCTACAGACACTACCTGTTGGTCTTCAGTGGTGCTAGGAATCATTTTCTCAATGTCTCCTTACCTAGAAAGGCAATTCACTCCCAAATTAGGGTACTTGTACTTCTATTTATAAGGAGGAAATGTCCAAACACAGATTTAAAGTCAAAAAGTCCGGCTCCTCCATTTACTATCTAAACAAACTGAGTAGATTCAATTACCTTACTGAACATTTGCTTTCTCATCTGTAAAATGATAAGAATAAATACACCTCTCCTACCTATTTACTGGAGTTATTTAACAAATATGCTAATTGCTTCTGAGAAATATATATAAAAATACTTCAAAAAGTTAAGAATAATTTTTGGGGCACACATACATGTCTTCCTCTCAATTAGATGAGTTATTTTTAAGGATGATTAATAATTCACATAAATGTTCATTCATTTTTGGTCTTAACTCATTTACATTGAATTATTTTCTTCATTTTTTTTTCCTCCTATGTTTTCATTATAAATGGCAGAAGATGTTTTGGGAATTCTTCATGTATAGGATTCTAATCCCTTATTCGTAATTCTAAAATCCAAAAGTTCTTAAAAATAAAACTTTTTCTGTCACTAAAGTTCATGCAAAGGTAAATTTTGACTCAAATTCTAAAAAGGCTACTTATGATCTTCATTTGTCCATCTTAGAATGAACCTTCATGTATTTCCATAGAAATATTTTATTTGATCATGCAGGTGCTGCTACAGACCACTGGGTGTATCACGATATATACAGAATATGTACTCATTGCTTTTCTAAAGACTAAAATATTCTAAATTCTGGAACACATCCGTCCCAAGGGATTATTTTTTAAAATATATATTTTATTTTAAAGATGTGTGAGCCAAGCTTGGTGGCTCAGCCTGTAATCCCATGCCTTGGGAGGCTGAGGTGAGTGAATTGCCTGAGCCCGTGGGTTCGAGACACGCCTGGGTAACTTGGTGAGACCTCATCTCTACAACAAATCAAAAAATTAGCTGGGTGTGATAGCACGCACCTGTAGTTCCAGCTACTTGGAAAGCTGAGGCGGAAGGATCGCCAGAGCCCAGCAGGTTGAGGCTGCGGTGGCCGGGAGTGGCCACTGCACTCTAGTCTGGGCGACAGAGTGAGACTCCAACTCAAAAAATAAAATAAAATAATAAAAATAAAATAAACATGTGTGGTAAAATTCAGGATTAAATACACAAGGGGATGTCATACAGGTAAAGTTTGGGCCTCCCACTGTTCCCTTCTTTGCCTGGTTTGAGATCAGGTAGCCTTACTGATGTCATGTGACCCCGCCAAGGGTTTCATATATGAGACCCATATCTGGATCTTGATCTGGATGGGAAGAATAAGCATAAAATAGTTTTCCCCATCTCTAAACTAGCTAGTAGCAAGAAACAGAAAAAACAGATCCTACGCCTCCTCTAATTCCAAGTATAGCAGTTATTTCAAAGCACAATAGTACATTTTTCTTGATTTCCTATTTAAAATGTAGAAAGGGAATATCTATTTGTAAATATAGCATAATATTTTAGAATATTTGTGCTTGAATATAATTGCATTTGCACATAAATAATTAAGTCAAGAAATAATTTGTTGCCCATCTAAGATGCAAGTATATGTGAACTATATGTTTTATCAGTAAAAACTTTTATTAGTAACAATCACAATTAGTCATATAGTAAGCATATCATAATTGACAACTACTGCTCTAGATAAAAAAAGTTATCTAGACATACATGAGGGTGACATATGTATAGATTTTTTTATTTCAACTTTACCTTAAAGAGCAAAAAGAGAAACTGAATAACTGACATTTTTATTTAATCCCAACTCAATTACTTATTCTCTCAGAAAATAATAGAGAATTTTTTAAATGGCATTACTGGGTTTAAACTTTTTATTATGCTATCTCATGAGGCTAATGAATACATTAAATAAACTAAAAAATATAAAAGGTTTAGATCTGGGGGACAGAAATGTTTCAGATAGCAATTTTTTTGACAAATATAATTATGGGGATAGTTGAACTGATATCAGAAATTGAGGCTATCCTGGGAAATTCAGTCATATAAGTTCATTCTTCATTTGTTTTGGGGTTTTTTTTTGAGTCAGAGTCTCAATGTCACCCAGGCTGGAGGGCAATGGCATGCTCACAGTCACCGCAGTCTCTACCTGCTGGGCTCAGACAATCCTTCCACCTCAGTCTTTCAAATAGCTAGAACCACAGGCATGTGCCACCATGCCCAGCTAATTTTTTGATTTATTGTAGAGATAAGGTCTCGCCAAATTGCCCAGGTTGGTCTCGAACCCATGGGCACAGGCAATCCTCTCGCCTCGGCCTCCCAAAGTGCTAGGATTACAGGCTGGGCCACCAAGTCCAGCCGAAGTTCACTCTTTAAATAACAAACTTTTGGCGGGGCTCGATGATTCAGCCTGTAATCCCAGCACTTTGGGAGGCTGAGGTGAGTGGATTGCCTGAGTCCAAGGGTTCGAGACCTACCCAGGTTTTACTATAAATCAAAAATTAGCCAGATGTGGTAGTACGCGCCTGTAGTTCCAGCTACTTGGAAGGCTGAGGCAGAAGGACAGCCCAGAGTCCAGCAGGTTGAGGCTGCGGTGGCCAGGAGCATGCCACTTCCCTGCAGTCTGGGCAACAGAGTGAGACTCCAACTCAAAAAAATAATAATAAATAAATAACTTTTTTCTTTTTTTCTTTTTTGAGTCGGAGTCTCACTCTGTCGCCCAGGCTGGAGGGCAGGGGCACGCTCACAGCCACCGCAGCCTCGACCTGCTGGGTTCAAGCAATCCTCCTACTTCAGCCTTCCAAGTAGCTGGGACTATAGGCATGCGCCACCACACCCAGCTAATTTTTTTAATTTATTGTAGAGTTGAGGTCTCGTCATGTTGCCCAGGCTGGTCTCAAACCTGTGGGTTAAGGCAATCCTCTCACCTCCACATCCAAAGTACTAGGATTACAGGTGTGAGCCACCATGCCCAGCAAACAAACTTTTTTTTCAAAACTTTTTTTTTTTTTTGAGTAACAGTCTCCATCTGTCATCCAGGCTGAAGTGCAGTGGTATGCTCATGGTCACCACAGCCTTGACCTGCTGGGCTCAGGCGATCTACTTCAGCCCTCCAAGTAGCTGGAACCACAGGCATGTGCCACCACACCCAGTTAATTTTTTAGTTTGTTATAGAGACGAGGTGTCGCCAAGTTGCCCAGGTTGATCTCAAACCCCTGGGCTCAGGCAATCTTCTTGCCTCCACATCCCAAAGTGCTAGGATTATACAGGCATGAGCCACAGGGATCGGTTCAAAACTATTTTTGATTATAAAAGTAATACATGTACAAAACATAAGACTTTGGCAGATATAGAAAAAAACTCAAAGAAGAAATTAAGACTCACTCATCATCCTTCCATAAACCCACCTCCAGAAAATCACCATTAACATTTCAGTCCATAACAATAGTCATTAGAGTGGGTCTTATCTTGGGCAAAGTCATCACTTAACCAACTCTACATGAAACAATTTGTAAGAGTTCTGAATATTCACAATAGCAAAAACATGGAAACAACCATGTTGCCCATGGAAGCTGGACTGAATAAAAACAAGTGGTACATATACACAATGGAATATAGAAGGACAAACATATGGACTTTGCAGCAACTTGGATGAATTTAGAGTCAATCATACTCAGTGCTCTATCACAGAAACAAAGAACAGAGTACCATATGTTCTCACTCATAAGTGGATCTAGAACAATCATCATAATACTATAAGAAAGGAATCGGGAGTAGTGGGAAACTGCCAGGGCGTGGGTATGGGATTGGCAGTTGAGGGAAACTGCTAGGGGAGGGAGGGGCATACCTCATCAACAAGAGTACCCACATAATCAACATTTTTATACCTAACCCTGAATTGTACCACACATCTTTATAATAAAAAATAATAATGATAATAAAAAATACAAAAAAATTTTTTTCAATAACAAAAAGAGTTCCAAATATTGGAAATTAAAATGTACTCACCTCCACAACACATTCATAAACGGTGTCATCCAACAAAGAAACTTTGCAGTGCATGTTTCTGTGTTTTCTGATTGACTTTTGGGAAGCCTTTAATTCTCTTTCTGCTTTTGATTCTGGACTTTCTTCCTTCACTTCTGTTTTGGAGCACTCGCCAAGTCCTTCTCCTTCTTTAGTTTCAAAATCTGGATCTTCTCTGTGTTCTTCCTGAGCGGGCTACATATCCATGACATCAGCAATAAAAGCATTTCACAAAACATGTTGTATATCATCTTACCAATAAAAAGCACTAACTGAAGAAGAAAAATTATTAAAACAAATATAGGTGACATTAATATTAAATAGCTTATTTTTCTATAAAAGATATCATGATCCCCAAAAGATCCACAGATTAAAACTTTATTATTAAAACTTCTCATGGTAGAATCCTATCAATACTTGAAGGTTTTGTTAACAGAGGACATCAATCTATTGCTCTCAGCATTATATATTCTTCCTGACTATACCATTATATGCTATTATTATTTTTTCTGTTTTTTTTTTTCGAGTTGGAGTTTCACTCTGTCGCCCAGGCTGGAATGCAGTGGCCGCTCCCAGCCATCGCAGCCTCGACCTGCTGGGCTCCGGCGATCCATCCGCCTCAGCCTTCCAAGTAGCCGGAACTATAGGAGCGTGCTACCACGCCCGGCTAATTTTTTTATTTATTGTAGAGATGAGGTCTCGCCAAGTTGCCCAGGTGGGTCTCAAACCCGCGGGCTCAGGCTATCCATTCACCTCAGCCTCCCAAGGCACGGGATTATAGGCTGAGCCACCGAGCCAGGCTGCTATTATTAAAGTTTTTAAAAACTTTATTGTCTTTGCCCCATGCTCCTCAATTTTAGCAAAGTAGCCCCATGAAGTGCAAAATAAGATGCAATTTGTCACATATTCTAAATTTTATAAATGGCTAAGAGAGATGCTTGGAACAATTTTAGAGCATTAAACAAACATATGTAGTAGCCTAAAAACTATAACTACCAGTTAATTCTTTCTACCCAGTATCAATCATGTTAAACACAATGAAGATTCAAAGAAGAAAGAGAGATTGAAATCTGAGTCTCCTGGCGTAATCATTAAGTTATCCCAAAATAATACAGATAAGTAAGACAACATTTTGGCATACATTTTATTACATTCAACACAATAAAACTGCTGAAGATTTTTAACTAAACCCCACAAACTCATTTCTTTCAATAGAATACATGGTTGACAATCTAAGGATTCAATTATTTGGCTTCTGCATTAGACACTAGAAGTGGTCTAAAAACTGACATATGTCTTCCAAAAAAAACCAAGCTACACTGGATAAAGGCTGGTACAATCCTATAATGCAAACTCACTTTTTGAAAAATCCTGGATAAGAAAGAACCACTTAAATAAAACTCTACTACACAAATATAAATATGGTTACATAAAATAAACTTTTATCACAAGGTTCTGATCCACAAGGCTTTGACTATAAATATTAATTTCCAAAAGGTCTAAAATATTCCCTTAATTTTATTAACATTAATTTATTTCTCTTTATAATCAAACACCTACACAATTTATTTCAACTCTGAGTTGTCTTAATGAATGAGATTTTAGTTAAGTCTAAAATTAACTTTGTCATCTGATTCAACTTGAGTACAAATCTATTCTTTGTACTATATTTAGATACTATAGACAAGTTCTGATTCAAATGTTAACTAAAATAAGATATGAATTTTTTTCCCTGCAAAAAGCAGAGGAAAAAAAAATAAGCTGAAACACCCTTGAAAGTATCAGGCTTCCTGAAAAATAATATAATTTCACTCTTGGTATTCCTGAAATGAAATTACATTAATGATATTAAGATATGTAGGGTTTATCCAGGCATAGTGGCTCACACCTGTAATCCCAAGACCTTGGGAGGCTGCGGTGGGAGGATTGCTTGAGTCCAGGAGTTCAAGACTAGTCTGAGCAACATAGCAAGACCTCATGTCTACAAAAAAAATTTTTTTAAGTAGCTGGGCATGGTGGTACATGCCGGTAGTCTCAGCTACATGGGAGGCTGGGGTGGGAGGATCACTTGACTCAAAAAAAAAAGACATATAAGGTTTCTTTGCCTTTACTGTTCAGGTTTATATACTGAGTAATAGTAACTAACATTTATTGACTACTTACTAAATGTCAGGCAATGTCTTAAGAGCTTTGCATGTTTCTCTTTCCTAATCCTCAAAATAACCAAATGAGGTAGATATTGTTATCCCTACTGTAAAGAGGAAGAAACTGATAAAGTAAAAAGTGTCACTTCTCTGTGATTTGAACCTTCTAATCTGATTCTGTGGTCTGCATTCTTAACTATTATATTATATGATAAATCTTGTTTTCAACTTTGTTTCACTAATAGCAAATACATAATTACAATTTTATTCTTTTTTTTTTTTTTTTTTTGAGTTGGAGTCTCACTCTGTCGCCCAGACTGGAGTGCAGTGGCCACTTCCGGCCACCACAGCCTTGACCTGCTGGGCTCCAGCAATCCTTCCACCTCAGCCTTCCAAGTATTCTAAGTTTTACTCCTAGCACTTTGAACAAGTAAAATTTCTGGAAATACATGTAACATTCTTAGAAAATTCTAATAAAACTATATACCCAATCCTTAGACCTAACAATAGAAACAAACAGAACTTATACTTTTATACTGTCAGAGTTCTAAAAGGATTTATACTTTTAACAACGTAGATAATGTTCACATGCTTCAGAAATAAGACAACTTTGAAAATAACTCTTAATTTAAATAGTAATCCTGAAAATAAATGAGATTCCTAGAAAATAGTTTGGTTACAGTACTAATATTTTCCCATTTTTTGAACAAATAAACAGACTCACAACTCATATTTACTTTAACAACACTGTGACACAATTAAGGCCTCGGACTAAAACCAGAATTTATTTATAAAAAAATGCTGTATTTATTCGTACAAGTTTAAACTTCAGTCACCTTCAAAGCACTCTTTGTTTGATGCAATACACCTATCAGGATACTTTTTATACTGTTCAAACAGTTTTTGAACTTGTCAATTTTGATGTCTTTTAGTGCTTCTACCATTTTTTATTTCGCCTCTTCCAAATTGGCAAAAAGTTTCCCTTAGAAGATTTTTTTCATCAAGGGAAACAAAAAAAAAGTCACTCAGGGCAAGATAAGGTGAATAGGAAGGGTAGGGAAAGGAGGTCATGTTGTTTTGCGTCAAAAACTACTGAACATTCAGTGTAGTGTGGGCAGGTGCACTTGTAACTCACCTATCATGAAATGGACAAATGCACTGACAGAATCTCCAAAAAAAAAATTCACTGAAGCCGAATGCAGCCTCTCACAACAACACTAGTTGGTACATTGAGGCTGATGGGTTACTAGAACACTTACCTAGCAGAGAAGCCTATACTACAATAGGCTTACCATCCAAAATGATAATTCTGCTTTCTGTGGGGAGGGGGGATTCCCTCATATATATGTGTATGTGTACATATGGATGTGTATTTGTGTGTGTGTGTGTGTGTACACAAAGTATAAGTATCTTTTTAAAAACCACTGATGGCCGGTTCAGTGGCTCAGCCTGTATCCCAGCACTTTGGGAGGCTGAGATGAGTGGATTGCCTGAGCCCGCCAGTTCAAGACCAGCCCGGGCAACCTGGCAAGACCTCATCTCTACAATAAATAAAAAATTAGCTGGGCGTGGTAGCGTGTGCTTGTAGTTCTGGCTACTTGGAAGGCTGAGGCAGAAGGATCGCCAGAGCCCAAGTTGATGCTGGGGTGGTCGTGAACCTGCCACTGCACTCCAGCCTGGGTGACAGAGTAAGACAACTCAAAAAAAAAACAAAAACACTGATTACATTAATTTCTTTACAGCAGAAACTACGAAGTTTCATGTTACTTATCACTATCAATGCCTAAGTCAACTGGTCAGTAAGAAGTAAAACCAAATGTTCTTAAATGAAAAATAAAATGTATACCCTGCCTTCATTATACCCACCTTCATATTCACACATCCTTACCTGTGTTTCTGCACTGCTTAATGAATGAAGATCCAAAGATGGGTCTGTTTTGAGCTCAGGTTCAGGAGCTGCAATTGGGGCCTTTAAAATGATCTCTTCATCAAGACTAGTTCCAAATTCTGTCTCTTTCTGACCACCTTCACCTTTTTCTTTATCTGACTCAACTTCTTTGCCTTCTTCCTCAGACACTTGAGATTTGGGCCTTTTCAGAAATGAGGAGAACAGTCGTGACAGGCCTCTGCTTTCTGATGTTCGTTCCTTGTTCTTGGTCAAGTCTTCATGGGTAGGAGTGTCTCCATTCGATGTTTTCAGCTTCTGTTCACACTGGTGATCTCCCTCAGTTGCTGTTTGAGAAGCCTCCTCCAGTTGAGTTTCCTGTTGGCCTGAGTTTATGGCTCCCTCACCGTCTTCCTTCTGTTGTTGGTGTGGTGAATTTTCAGCCGCCTCAGCCACTAAACTCTTCTCTGTTGTCATGGTGTCGCTATAAAAAGAAGATAGAAAAGGGGGTGCTCTTATAAGCAAAACACATTGCTGTAGGCAAAACCCTAAACAAAACCCTAGATAATGACCAACAAACAAAATTTCAATCCATTAAACATGAAACTTTTCATTAAAGTACAAAAATATCTTACCTATACATCCTGAACAAAGTATTAATGCCTTGAGTCACTAAAAATATGCACATAGAGGGAGTAACTTAAACAGTACCCACTGAGGTCACCTTAGCGAAATGCATCATATATTAAATTCAATGCTTAGAATTGTTTATAGTAAATCCAGTTTTATCCTTCCTAAAAAAAACCCAAAAAACCTTATTTGCATACTATTCTTGAGGGTATCAGTCTAAAGGTGTTGGATTTACAGGAATTATTATCTGCAATTCTCTACACTCTAAGAGACAATGAAATTTAAAAGTTCCCCAAATCTTTATTGTTTTTCCTCTTTACATTTCTTAGAATGCATAGATTTCTCTATTGAAACAGCAAGTGTGCCAAGTGTGTTGACATATATCTGTAATCCCAGCACTTTGGGATGCCAAAGTGAGAGGATCATTTGCAGCCAGGAATTTGAGATCAGCCTGGGCAACATAGCAAGACCTCATCTCTACAAAAATAAAAATAAAAAAATTAGCTGGGCATGGTGTCCCTATAGTCCCAGCTACTCAGGAGGCTAGGAAGGATTGCTTGAGCCCAGAAGTTCAAGGCTACAGTAAGCTATGATCATGCCACTGCT